TCTTCAAATCCGACTTGTTTTGTTCAGATCTCCCAAAGCCAGACGCCACTTTCAAAAGCTAATTTCTCCTAATCTGTGGCGGACAAAAACAGCGCTTACAGATTTGTGTAGAGGTGCTATTATTTGCACTTATTGAGGAGAAACGTCGCCACTTCGGACAAACCAACGGTTTTACTTGAGTCAAACAGAAAGGCATACACTTTCATGCAATAGATCAAAATATGTTTCACCCATAAATATACCAAAATGGAAGATAAACTTCGCCGTATTTTTCTCAAAAATGTCATGGTTATCTATTCTTGTTGGGTTCTAGGGGGTACCACAATATTTATAAACAGGTAGTTGCTGGAGTCGGAATATAGAGGCTCCATAAACACCTCAAGCACGGAAGATTTCATCCATTCACCTTTAAGGATACGATAAACATGGCACCTCCTTCGAGGTCTCTCGCGTTCCAAACACACTAAACCGACGGAGTCCTCCTCAAGCCAGTATTCGTATAAAGCATCTGGTCAAGTGTACCTAAGGTTGCGTCTTTTGGAATAAAAATAGAAACTAATTGTAGAGATCAGAAAATGCAATCTGAACGGTCCGAAGGTTTGGTTTACCGCAGCAACAGTACAAGGGAAGGACGAAGACCTCGCAGAAGCCGCAGTTGTTCGCGATTCTATCTCAGTGTTCTTTTTTCTCTACGTTTGATCCGTTCTATCAACAGCTTCTTCTTCGCTCTGTTTCGTGAAGAATTGCCCAGAACGGTGCTATATGCAAGGTCTCCCTGTCTCGCCATCGAATGCATCCGGTGGATAGACAACTCTATCCAGATCTATAAATATTAATCTATTCAAAAACGTAGGAGTGTAAAAAATAACCGATACACACTCTTGAACACAACAGATTAATAAACCTATATCAATATTGAAAACGTTATTTTAGATGTAAATGATAACAGATGCCGTATTTTTAAGGATTGTGAAGCCACCTAATTGGCGTCTTTAATCAACTCAGCACGTAACGTGTTGCTCACAGAGTTAGGCGTGGAAATTTTACACTACTCAGTTAAATGAAACATGATTTACGCAAAACAAACGCAACAGCGTTCGATGATCTGTTTGCGGCTGCAGACAACGCCAGTCAGCATAAAACATGTTTTCATAGTCTAAAATTGGCTAAGCACTCCCGCCGGTAATCTGTGTACAATTTACACATTGCTTCACGGAATAAATACACATGTAACAGAAGATTTTATTGAAGCTTCCCGTTGCTGACTTTGTCGGACATGGCTGACGTAAACTTTTGAAAGTCGCCACTCGATAGAATACTTGACGACACATTGTGAACCTGTCCACATTATTTCAATAGCCACACTGAAAATCCTATATCCTATCCTATATTCCAGGTACGGTGTTTGTCACGTTGTTTTTTATTTTTTAGGTTCATCTAGTTCAAATCTTCTGAAGAATATAGGGAAACCAATCAGAGAATTGCTGATTCTACTGGCAATCAAAGCACTTCACTAGGCTCCTATCAGACACTCTTGACCGCTTTGGTTACAGTTACGTGAGAATGCCGATCATTGAATACGTGGTGGTGGTTAATGCCAGATAAGGACTATCCGAGAAAGAAAACGTCTTCTGGTGTGCTGAACTACACTAAGTGAGCAGTCAGTTCTAGCTGAAATCACGCAGTGTTGCGCACAGTTTAACCAAATCTCTAGACATATTTTTGGCCATTCAAGATTTCACATCTCGGTGAAACGCCAAAGCAACAAAATCAGGACGATGTTTAGTTTCTCTATGCTGTTTACCATAGCATGCTTATGGGTCACTCTACAACCAAGACGATCGTAAAATATGAACGTGCTTTGACCAAATTTTAGTCGTGTTTTGCATAACCTTTTCTATGGAGGCTTGTTTCGACATTGTCGTACTCTTAAATACACCGATTCCTATACCCACACTAACGCATTGTGAGCAAAATCATCGCCAGATATATTCCTTTTCCACAAGAGCTTGTCACAAGATGGAAGAGATTTTATGAAAATCACATAGAAATCACGTGATGCAAATCGTGTTCGCCAGTTACAATCCGTAATATGGCCAGTTACTTGCCAAATCCTGTGAGCGTAGAAAAGGACAGACAAAGTCTGTCAAAGTCGCTTGCTTAGTGCTACACTTTGGCTTGACTGAAAATATCTAGTCGCCAACAAGCCACAATAATATCTGCCACATGCTCTCAGAATCCGTTTGAATCACTGGCCATGGAATAATAGATGTCGAACAAAAACTTTGTCATTTAAAACATTCCAAATCTCATCTAACTCCTGAATTCGCCTACAAGAATTTGACTACATTCCTCCGTTGTGTACTTTAATTAGTTGGGCTGAAACCTCCATGGACCTAACCCTGATGTATCTGGACACAATCCTTGCCGCTATTTTCATGAACGCCTTGTGGTTGATTCTGTATTCTTTGCAGAATTTCCTATGAATCACACAAAATTATAACTTCACTATGAGAGTATCACCCTATCTTCTTTGTGTGTTCGAGTGTTTATTCTTAATTTGGCAAAGACGTCAAATTTAGCTACGCCTACTACGAAAAAGTAGTCAGAACCACCACTAATTTCTCACGATTCTCAATGTCTTTCTGGTAAATGACAAGTCGTGAGATTGCAGCTCAAGCAGGAGCAATCTGTCCCCGTCTGATAACTATTCGTTTTCCTTAGGAATTGTGATATGGGTAGAGACAACGCATGACAAATACTGAAAGCCTGTTATCGTCAGAATAAGAAAAACCTTGGGATTTGTATGTACCGTGCAGTGACCGCCTCGTGTTACGGTTAGGCGGGCGAACTCTAAAACTGAACAAAATGAGATCAGATCACAGCACGTTCACCCAACGTTACCATTCAGAGACTGCTCTTCTAGGCCCAATGGTTTTTATTCCATGTTGTCTTTGCCTCATAATGTAACCTTAAATTATGTGCTGGAATCAAAGGCCTCAAAAAAGTATACTTTGAACTTCCGCCTGATAAGTAGTCAAGGTCATTCCCATCTCCCTTAAGCGCCAGGCTATGCATAGCCAGGTTGTATCACCATGAAGTCCCATTCGAAACATAAAAGCAGTCTTATAGAATTTCTAAGGCACGCGTTTTCTTCTTCGGCACATTACTCTTCGTTGTTTCTCATTAGAAATTTACTTCCATCCAGGTCAAACTCAATGTGATTTCATCTAGAGGGAACAGTGCGAATATCTCGCCCCACATCCTCCCGTAAAATGCTTTTTCTCCTAAACGACCTCAACGGCATGTCTGCAGCCCAGTCCTATCGTGACGGTAACTACATATCCAAGATCTGACCAACATTTTCATTCTCTTTTGAATGGAATTTGCTTCACTATCATCTCTTGCCTGATCTGCCCAACCGCCATGGGCCAACCATAATTCTGCAAAGTCTGATATATCAGAGCCAACAACAGTTGAAAAGCTTCACTACTGACTAGTGACCCGATTCCTCCCGGGCATTTTGCAACAAAAATTCACCAAGGTAGGCATTTTGCTTCACACTAACACGATTTACTCAATCAAGCTCCCCCTTGCCTAACATCATGGCAAGGCCATATATCTAAATATGCAACAACCATCTATTCAGGTACCCCTTTCGAGACTCTTCCCGGTTACCCTCATCAAAAACACACATTCCTACATCGTCATATTCTGGAAGTTAAACTGGGGGCATCCGTCTCAAAACGCGGGCTTCCAACAAGTAGTATTCAAGGGGACGCTCCACTTCACCAAACCCTATTCCTTAGGCGTGGATAATGACGACATTTTTGTTGCAATTCGCAGCGTCACAAAATGTTTTTTGTCGATAGTGCGAAAACAGCCTATACTTTCCCTGCCAACAAACAGAGTGGAACTGCGTCCTTGAGTAGGGGACGATATGGACCAAGTGGTTAGAGCGCGAATTTACTGATCTTAAGGTCCGTGCTTTGAACCCGACCTCTGCCTTTCGACTTCCCCTGTCTAGGCTTGGACAACTTGACAGTATCCCAGCCCTCGTGTCTCCTTCATGTAGCATGGCAGCTGGGCACCAAAAGGGTGCTACAGCTGAACGATTTTTTAATCCCCCCCCCCGCTTAACTGCATTCTCAATCCATGATCTTTCAAAGTATTGCTTCATTCCTCATATTAAACACGTTACCCACTCGGTTCCTCTCCTATAGCCTGTAATATATTTGATCCACACTTGTTCAGATGTATTTGTGCTGACAGAAATTCAGTCTCACCGTGTTTCTCTATTAACCGCTGAGGGGTATTCACTGACTGCCTAAACCTATCACCTCGTGCATAGTATGCGTTTAACCCAATCGATGAACTATGTAGTTTAGACCAGAGTTTTCTTCAATTCAAAACAAATCCATCAAAACAAGACCCAAAAACAACTCTGCCAACATCAAATCCCTGTTTCAGAGCCACCGATTTCTTTTATATATGGTACCCTTGCGACCTGTAGGCAACCATCTAAATAGGGTTAGACTGGCTTGTACCCCTGTAAAACCTGTATTTTTCCTACGTTCCTCTCTTGATCCGTTCCAAGGACAACTCTGCTTCTCCTACGTTCTCCCCCTACTTAAGTAGCTATTCCATTTCAGTTCGTCGAGTCTTAACAAAACTAAATACTCTAGGTGGCTGTTCACGGCCTCATATCAGCGCCGAACACGAGGGATGATTCAGCCGGTCGTTCAACCCATACGTAAATATGAGTCACATTCCGATGTTTCCAAACTCTTTCCCGTATGGTCCAACTCACCT